AAATGTACAACAATCCAAAATTAATGCAAATCCAAATCGGCAAAGTTAAGAATAGGGTGATCAGGGCAATCAGAGGTGCCGTACCTTTCCAAGAGCAATTTGGTAACCAACCGCTGGCCAGAATGAGCGAAGCGCGCTATCACTATCGGTTCCTCATAGGCGGAGTGAATTTGGTATCACTCCGCCTGTGACTGGAGCCGGCGCTATAGATGAAGCGTCAGCTTATGCGGCTCTGCTCCCTGCGCTACCGCCTCACTTCCTCTAGGGCTGGGTTCGTTGGCACCGCCGATTTTCTCCCGCCTTTCCCGCGGCTCTTCAAATTTCCCCTTATGCCACCACCGGCCCTGGGAATGGTCACAACTAGGTCTTATTTTTGGGGGTAAGTCTTATATTTTAGCAATTCCCAAAAATAGTACTAGGTCTTATTATCGGGGTAGGTCTTATTTTCGGGGAAACAGGGTAACAGGGAGCAGCAATAAAAAATGTTGAAGGTTCTAAACCTTCCCTACTTGATCCAAAACAAAAAACGTTTTGCTGGAGTTCTTCTTTAAAGGCATGTTGTTACCCCTGCAATGACATGGAGACGTTTAAATACATTTTGAAACTGTGCATCTCCTGCTGTAAAATGTTGCTAAAAGCCATCACACATAAACCGTGGAAAATATTAATATTGAAGTTTATTTTGCCCTAAGGTCTAACCTAATCTCATTTTTCTTGGCACAGCATACTATAAATATCAGTTGTCTGTGTATTCCTAGGAAAAACTCTGTAAAGGACACAGTAAAGCGTTCATATTTCAGAGCTGGAATTATTTCATAACCTTATCAAATAGCAGCAGTAAAACACTTCTGAATCTTAAAGAGGTATTTTCTTTTCTCATTTTGAGCTTGTTCACAGCACTGACAGTGCGTTCCAGAGCGGTTAGCTATTCTGTTCTGTTTCCATTCTGGGGTGGGAGGGAGTGTGGCGGTGCATTGAAGGTCCAGTGCGATCGGAAAAAATAGTGCATGCAGCTTTTTTTCCAATCGCACAGGACCAGAATGCAGGCATTGATGAGCCACGTGTTCTGTTGCCGGCGATCACATGCCCCCTCCTGCCCCAGGACACAGGGGGAGTTTAGTATGTGATAGAGCGGTGTGATCAAGCCATTTAAGTTGATTTTGCTTTGATTTTTGTCTTTACAAGTATCAAACTGGCTATATTTTTGCTTTAGTGGTTCAGTTTTACTTAGGGCTCTTTCACACCATATGTGTTGCACTCCACCTATCTTGCCAAGGCATAGATAAGGCAATTTAGTTTACTTTCTAGGAGTTCCACCTTTTTATTAAAACAAAATGCACA